ATATATATATATAGTTAATTGGGCGAGAGGTTAAGTCAGGGGCACAGCTGTAAACTTCACCTCTAATATTGGCGCTGGTTGGAACGGCTCACTCACCAATGGTTTCGGTGGTGGGACAAGTTTTTTCGGATAATGACTTTAAATCTGGCTCGTGTGCACTTTAAATTTTGTCTTGAAAGGCATGGCTGATAATTAGCCTAGCTAGTATAAAACTAATATTGCTTCAATAAAGATTTCGTTGAAACAGTCTTTTTTCTTTGAATATTATATTTCAATTATTATAAACGATTAAAGTCATATTTTAATTTTGAAATTGTTAAGCTATGTTGTCTAGGTTGGTATACTATGCTTCAAATCACTCAGCCAGGCAATTATAGGCTGAGTAATACCAGTGGTGCTCTATTTTCCTAGCTAAGTCAGAGCCTACCTTAAATGTAATAAACATCATAGCATTGTATATCCTTTACATCGTGTATTTCTCATTAGTTGGTAATTAAATATTTCAATATATTTGGCCTCCTATCGTTCGTGTGCCTCTAGATGGTCGGATATGGCACTCTCAGACTTAAATCTGAGTATAATTTTCTTTTCTTCTCTCTATTATTTTAGAATTTTTAAGAAAAAAAAACTTGCATTCTGGGTTCTCCTACCCTGCCACTAGAAATTATCCTACCACAAAAATATCGACTTATCAGTGGTTGGGATTGAGGTGAGCAAATTTGTAACGTACATACCTCTAGCTTTCTGGAAATGGCACTTTCAAAAGTTAGCTTTCAAAGCAGTGTTTTCAACAGAATACGTTCCCCCCACACCCAAATGGTAAACAACGCATCCGATTTAATCCATTGTTAGTCTCCCTCTTCCCAATGTCATTAACCTACGCCACTAGATTAAGCCTACAATGTGCTACACTGAGAAAAAAAAAAAAGGCACACGCACAACAAACAGAAAAACCTTTTTTAAAAAATGGTCCGGAAAATGATTTATTTTTAGCAATGTTGTGCGGGCCGGATCAAAATCTTTGACAGGCGGGATTTGGCCCGCGGAATTTAAGGCAAGATTTAATGTGGGCTACAATACAATTTGATTGATGTGTACATTTGCCAAATACACTGACCATAAACGGCTATGATTTTTGTATGTAAGACTTGCAGAGATATTACAGTAAAGTATTTTAACTTCTATTCCTACATTCAGAAAACTACCGAATTCCAAACTGGAGGAGATTCAGCCCAACACATTTACAATGTTAAGTAATTTACAAACTATGTAAGTTTCTTTTATTTATTTGCATTGTTAATACAGCTGGCTTAGATCAATAATCAACAAGTAAACAATATAAATGATCGTTTGTACAAGTCCGAAATCATAATATAGTTGACATCTTTGAAAAATATTAGTAGTGAACACACAAGCACTTTAATACATGTATACAGTTTTCCTGAATATCATGGAATTATATTTTGTTACTTCGCTGTACTTGTGAATTTCATTGCTTCTATTTTTACTGGGGCAATTAGATTGGTGTCTTGAAATTTAATGTGTTGTGACTGTATGTATAATGTAAAAAAAATAGACACTTAATATTTCTTTTATTTATCTATTTGATGGTTTGGTATTTTTACCTTTAATGTTTCTACTCGTCTGTCCAAATTATACCTTTACATTTTCACAACGAATTTTGTAAACCATTATGTGATTATTTTGCGATAGTTTGACTGTGTTAAGTGTCGTCTGAAGTGTTCGGTGAACTGTGCTAGATGATTATGTTGTTCTGATACGTTACAGATGGAATGCTTATTTGATGGGTGGTGAAACATTTACTGATATAACGATGAAAGTCCATGGATTTGCGGTTTCTTTATTATTAAAAATATTAATATTTGAATTTAATTTAGCGATATTCGAAGAAACAATATTCGCCAAATTAAGGAGGACGTGTTTTTACTGAATGGTTCTGTACCTTGTGTTATGTAAGCTTAATTTTACTTTTGCCATTTTCCGATGTTCTTTTTTTATGTTACCTGAAATGAATTATTGATTATGAATATGATTAACATCAAAATTATAATGATTAGAGTTATAATGATTATTACGAATATAAATATGAACAAACTTTATTACACTGTCTTGTCTTAATTACATAGTTGATTAATTGTTAACACTAAATCGATAATAATAATAATAGTAATAATACTAACACTAATAATAATAATAATAATAATAGTAATAATATTATTAATAGTAATAATATTATTAATATTAATAATAATAATAATTATTATTATTATTATTATAAGAGCACTCACTGTAAAAGCACTAATTTAAATATTCATCATAATATAATTGCTATTGTTTCTGCCTACGGTAATACGGTAAACTATTTTTTTAAATGGTCTTTATATCGACACCCTACTTCAGATAGTCACCAAAATTGATACATTTCTTTATTAAAACATGACAAACTGTTCTACTAATTGTCATTTTTATCCATTGATCCATTGTTGAGATATTGATTGGTTTTTACGATATTTTTTCTAGGACAAATTCATTTGAATGGTCCTCACATCCACACCCTGGTCCGTACACTCACCAAAACACAATCAAAATGTTAACACTCCCAGTTATTTTTAATTATGTCTGTGCAGCCGTTCTAAAATATTTTGAACACAAGAAAAAAAATGAAACAACAAAGCGTTACTCACACACACACACACACAACATTCTCGAAACGAAAACATATATCTCCTCCTTATAATGATGATGATGATGATGATGATGATGATGATGATGACGATGACGATGACGACGACGACGATGATGATGATGATACTATGATTCACATGATTTTGAAAGATTTTGTGCTAACCTTAGAAACTTTACAGGGTCATCTGAGATTATATTTAGTGGGGGAGGGGCTATTGGTAATACATATTACAATCTGTAGTTTCATTCCTTGATTTAACAAAAAATCTCTACACAATCGGACACGATGCTCTTCATGACTATGATTTTGACTATTGTTATTAATATTAATAATAATTTAAAAATAATGTTTTATTTATTGTTATTGCAATAATTATTTATATCGTTGTTTTATCATTAGTAGTATTATTATGTATTGTATCGCGATCATTTATTTCCACAGAAATTTTCAACATGCAGGTATTATGGAAATAGCTACAGGAAGCTTTAGAAATCTTGGAGATAGCTCGGACGTGTAAGTAAATTTTTCTTGTTTGTATAATTGCAAAATTGAAATCAAATACTTTCTTAACAATAATATGTTATTTTCTTTTTAAAGGTATTTAATGGATAACTCGATTAAATCCATCCCGTCTCGAGTATTTCGAGCCCATTTTTTGTTGCATATGTAAGTATTATGTAAGATTTGTTTTACGTCTATTTCATATATGTAGGAGGCAGTTTGATTGGGAGGTGGGTTGCTAAGTGAGGCGAATTTAATGCATTACGTAAAACAGGGATGATAAAAACATGTATTATAGTAGATGTATGGACTCATTTTTTCTAGATCAATGGAAAGGGAGGGTTGGGTCCTAGACTGTGTGCTGCCTCGATGACTTTTCGCTGGTGGTAGCTGGTACAACTATCTTGTTAAGTTTGAAAATCAGTCCTTCCTCCTCGTATAGCTTACTACACACTGGGTAAAAACCTAGTTAAAAAAATCAAATTTTAAGTATTATAAATTAATAAATATATATTTATTAATTTATAATAAATTAATAAATATATATTCATTAATTTATAATAAATTAATAAATATATATTTATTAATTTATAATAAATTAATAAATATATATTAACGAGCTGATTTATTAGGTTGTTAATAAATTTACAATAATTAATACAACAAATTTTAAATATCATACAGTACATTAAATAAAATAAATACAGCCTAATAGGCCTAATTATTATAATTGTATTTACTTTTAATATATATATTTAACTAAATGTATGTTACTTAAAAAAATACAACATAAATTATGATGCTCTGCGAGTGAATTTAGTAATAAATAAAACCTAATAAATTAGGCCCAGTTAATGCAATAAGGAAATAATTAATTATAATTAATTAATTTTAATTATTAGGTTGTATTATTATTGTTACTATATGTACTATAATACATAATACATTTACTTAAATAAATACAGGTATTATTAGAATGTATTTACTGTACTAAAATAAATACAACCTAACCAGATTGTATTTATTCATGTAATATGGTACATAAAAGAGATACGACAAACAGAAATGATGATGGTCTATGGTAAATTTAGTAAAATAAATACAACCTAATAAATAATTAGCCTAGTTAATACAATGAAGACATAACTGATACTGTACTTTGCTTATTATACTATGAACACCAGTAAAAAGAACAGAAATGGTGATGCTCTATGGTAAATTTAGTAAAATAAATACAACTTAATAAATAGTTAGCCTAGTTAATACAATGAAGAAATAACTGATACTGTACTTTACTAAATATACTATGAACATCAGTAATTACCATATATTGTAGGATTAACTGTATATGTAATAGATCCTGTCTATGTCTTATCCAACACCCCTATTCTGAAATGGATCATTCCTTTGTAATGGCATTTCCTCCTACTGATAATATTTCTACTGGCATTATTTCTGATTTCCATCTTTTCTGCTGATCTGTCTTTGTCTCATCTTTAATGTGAAATTAAAACCAAAAACAAAATAAATAATAATAATAATAATAATAATAATAATAATAATAATAATAATAATAATAATAATAATAATAATCGACTGATGTAAATTCATCTATCCAGGTTTACAATAATAAATATTAATTAAAACTTTTTATCTTTGGATAAAGCAGAAAACAAAAGAACTTCGACTATCATTGTAGTCTTGTTGACAATGGCACACGATGGAAATTGCGTCATAGGGATTGTGACGTCAACGGTGAGGCTGGGTGGGCTTGGTCCTGGTCCCCCTCCTACATTCCTGCCTTTAAAGTGTTATTCCATATATTTGGAAGAAGATTATATTTGCAAGAAGATTTTAGGATTGTGTGTAGTTCGGAATGAACTAATACGCTTTTAACACTGCCAGTGTTAATTCCGGAGTGATCCCGGGTGCATTTCCCATTTACATCGAACAAAAAAGTTGCCCCCGAGTTGCTCCCATTTTACATTGGCAACGAACTCGGGTTCAAATACCGCCCTCAATCTTTGTTGCGATGGTGATCATCACTTCGCTCGAGTTCCTCCTCGTGACGAAGCCGCAAATATTGATATTGAAGAAATTTTTCTGCAATTTTTTTTTTACTTATGCGAATTTAATCAGCAGTTTGATATCAAGTCTATACCGGGAACCGGGGGTTTAATTTTAAAAGTGTCTAGGTCTAGCCCCTTTCTAGCAAATTTTAGGCCTACCTGACCAAAGTTGCGGTAGTCGTCAGGTAAGGAGTCCAGAATCTAATTCGGTGTTGTTTACACTGGCGATTCCAGAATGCACCCATGGTCTCCTACGCCGACTGCGTCCCGCACATCTATCCCGGGATGTTTGGCAACCCGGGTTTCACTTTTGACGATTACAACTACCACAACTCGGGTGTTTTTTAGCCCGGGTATTGCAAAATCCCGGGTTGTGTCCGGAGTTTTGCTTGTAGTGTAAAAGGGGTATTAGATAGGTATCCCACCATGCCTAAGAAATTTCGCACAGTCTCCTTGTATTCTGATGGTTTTGCTCTCTTTGACCACTTGCACTTTCTCTGGACTAATTGTTATTCCGCCTTTTGTGAATTTTTACAAATAGAAGTCAAGTTCTTAAACTCTGAATTAACATTTCTCTAGGTTAAACGTCAGGTTAAAGTAATGTTGCTCTCTGCAATACATTTTCCAGGGTCGATTATGCCCTCGCTGATTAAGGCATTTGGTAATGCCACCAAAAATCATGTATTTAGTCTCATCAAACATGTCTTGTAAGGATTTGGGTCCAAATGCGAGTCGTTTTGGTCTCATATGCCAAGCCGTACTAACGCTTGCTACCTCTAGATTTTGGATCTAGTAGCAACTGGTGGTACCACTGCCGCATATCAAGCTTCGAGAATACTTTGCAGTCATTGAATTTGTAAATAAAATCCTTCACCCTCTAGTCCTTGAGTGATTCTGTTTTTTTCTGCAAGCTTTGTCATTTTTTAATGACAATGTGTCCTAAGCTACTAAGCACTAAGCTTATCGGAAGATGCTGTTCTTTGTTGTTTCAATGTCTGTTTATCTTCTAACAATATTATTTTTCTTATTCATATTCTCACTTAAGTCGCTTTTTTTCCCTTTTTTTTTGGCGCGTTACATGCATTTAGTTGACATCGCAACTTCACTCTCTCAGCTGTTAGTATGCCTTGTCGTGTACATATAATGTATGTTACCAATCGTGTTATATACTCAGTACGTTCAGTTTCATTTAATAATTTACAAATCGATGAGTTAGACTTATCATTAACATTGATTTTAATTTCAACAATTTCATGGTTCAATTGCCTACAATATTTATCACGTCATTTCTGATCCAGTAACAGCGAACAATAAAACTTAGGTTTGTATTTACCAGTTTCTCTAAGTTAATATTCGCATATTCATATAAAAATGAGCACTCACAATGTTATGGTCACTGATGGTCCTTCTGACATTTTATGCCCTACTACTATCACTCAATGTAAACTTTAACGGAGTTTTACACAAAATGCAACCGATTTGTCTATAGCATGGCTTAGTTTCATTTGTTTACCAGCATCTCGATTTTTATCATGCATAGTATGTGATGTTAAATGGCGAATGATATGTTTGAATGCAGTGTTTCAAGCAAAGGGAATATTATTAATCATAAAATTTAACAATATTTCACCACTATCACGAATCCGTATGCATATGAACCAGTATTCTGATATTTTCAAGATAAATATTACTCACTTTTCCAGCCAGAGCATTTAATTTACCTAACACAATTCTCCGTTGGCAGGTACTCTATATACTTTTTCTAGATCACTATGGAATTTACTAAGCAACTTGGGAATAGTTTTAGCCTTTACTACAATGAGACTGGCATTAACAGTTCTGCATTTATATAATCATTACTACGAGTAATATTTAAATATGCAATATCATCATCGTTATATTCAATTTTCACGTGATACCCTCGCATTCTTGATAACAGGCGTTGCAATCTTAATCTTGGGGTGCATTTATCAAGTTTTTTTTTCTTCAAATTAATCATTTCTATGGGTTTATGATCACTTTCTACAGTAAAATTTCTACCATATACATATGTATGGAATTACTCTACTGCGTAGACCACTTCGAAGAGTTTTACTCTGCTCAGTATCAGTTAGCACTTCATAATTAAATGCGATAACTTTCCCTTCTTTGGTTAGAGCTGCTCTTACAGCATTCAATGATGCATTCACCTGTAACGTTACTACTTTGGTTGGATTAAAATAACTAAGCATTACTCTTTTGCAAATTTTATCTTTGATACTGGCAAACATTAGACCACTCAAATATTCTTACCTTTTTAAGGAGGTCTCTCAGTAGCTCAGTTTTATTTTCAGAGAGAGGGCAAACCATACTCATGTAAGTAGCTATTTCAAGGAATTCTTGTGTATCTTTTACATTACTTGGGGAGTGATAGCTTTTATTGATTTAACGCGCTTAGGATCTGCATGTACACATTCTTCGTTGAATATAATACCAAAGGATTTATTTCCCTTCTTTTAAATTTCGTTTCTGTTACTGTTACTGTTTATTCATCATCATTATCAATAAATTATTTACATTTCACAAGAGAAAAAAGAAAATTTTGTTTTTTATTGTTAACTGAATGGAGGCCTGTATAGGTCCGGAGACACTTAAGCTCAGGCCACCTAAAAAAAGAAAAAAACGATTAATAATTTGAGGCTATAAAAAGTGTTTTAGTACAATAAATACAGTAAATAAATAAGTACAATAAATTAAGTGAAACAAAATGAGAAGTTTGAATTAAAAAAATATATAAAAAGAAGAAATAAAACAAAGGTAAATCAGATAAACTCGATGAGTTTGGAATGAAAGGAACGGGAAATTACGCTTGCTGGTTGTTTACTGGTGCTTATGACCACTAAAACGTCAAACGAGAAGGAAATTATACAGTCGA